ATCCGACAACAACAATTATGGGACTAATTTAATTGGGATTCATCTGCATATGCGACAAATTCCTTACAATTTTGAGAAGAATAAGACAAGATTACCGAGCACTTATACAGTTTGTGAACGTTCGTACATGTGCTGATATAGAATTCTAGCTGATAAATTTGAATAAATTCTTAATGCTCAAATAAAATAGTTGACATATCAAGCATAAACTGAATACTTCCATAAAAAATCTTCAATATCTTAGGGTTTATGCACAATCTACGAACATGGAGTTATGTTGAACTGTTTGATGAAAGGGACCTTAGCACAGTATTCTCCAAAGCCATGCTTGTTTCAATATTAAGTTTTTCTTAAGCAATGAAACAACGACATACGCAGGTGGGCGGCTAGTCGTTCATCGGCGCCCCTCAGGGGCGCGACTCACGGCTAGCCGTTGCCAAATTGAGAATCAATTCCACAACAAGTTGCCTATAGCCGAGTCCTAATAAGATCTCATATTAACATATGATACATCTACCATTATCAATATCATCGACTTGCACCCTTGAAAAACTTCACTACAAAGAATTTCTATCACGGAAATGTGACAATCTAAGCAGCTCTTAATGCATTATAAACTTACTTGAACTATGGCAGATCATTAACCATTTAATATTCTATCAAGCGACAGTCGTTCTCTTAGTTGCATCAATTTATTTTATTTGTTTAGGATCGTAGCCATTAATAATGCCCTTATGCTATCCCTAAATACTTTCGAAACACCTCTGATCCGTCAGTTGTTGGTTGCTTAGTCTTACTTTTTCAAAAAGCTCATGTTTTCATTCTGTGCAATAGATCTCTGCACAGTCGTCTTTGCTCATTAAAAAATTGCCTAAAAATTTTGAAAACCTACACACGAAATCGAGTTTCCCGACTCTGATTATCTTTGGTCAAACTTTATAAAAAAACATTTTTTTCATAAAAAAGCCTTTCTCTCTCCTAAAAAAAGCAAAAAGCAAAATTTCAAAAAACTAACCACAGATTCGAATTCCCCGACCCCTATTACCTTTGGTCAAACTTTATAAAAAAACATTTTTTTCGTAAAAAAGCCTTTCTCTCTCTCCCTAAAAAAAGCAAAAAGGAAAATTTCAAAAAACTAACAACGGATTCGAGTTCCCCGACCCCGATTACCTTTGGTCAAATTTTATAAGGCGTTTCCATGAGAGAGGTCAAAAGAACATTTTTTCGTTCTGTGCGAACGAACGTACGAATTTACGAACGAACGTAATCAACTCATTTCGGCGTAAGACCCTCCTTTCAGTAGAGGGAATAAGGATTGAAAACGCAAGGAAATACTATCATGTTATATGTATCTCAACAGCCTTTTTCTTAGTCAGTTTCCATATTGTAATTGAACTTTTCCTGGTTCCGTCAAAAACACCTGCCTTAGAAAACAGGCTAGAGATTGATCAAAAGTCAGATAATAAAATGAAGGAGTTTCGAGAATATATTTTAGAAAGATAACGAATGGTCAACAAGTATTTATTGGTAAAAACTAAAATGACTTAGTCCTGGTGATATTTCCATTTCTGTTAGATAGATATAAATTTTTTTTTGTCTCAATGAGTCATATTTGCATTTAAGTTATAATTACGCATAATTTTACTTGATTCGATGATAACATTGAAACGAAAATGGAACTATTTATTCCTTTTCTTTTGTCTATATTCATTTTTGTGTACTCAAAAAGTGAGTACCCTCTAGAATCGGTCAGTGTGTCCGGCCGTCTGGCCGTTTACACGATAACTTTTGAAAGGAGAGTTCAATCGCGATGAAATTTTCTACACAGTTTAGTATTAACAATGTCTCGGTTGTGTTCGAAGATGAGCATGATTGCCCTAGCCGTTCGTGAGTTATTGCAAAAATACTCATTTTTTCCTATGGCTTCCTATGCGAAAATCGACCCATCCCCGCTTTCATAAAAAACTTTTCCTATCATACTCAAACAAAACCCCAACTATTATATACCATTCGATAGAGAATTTTACGAGCTACAAAATGGTGTATAAAACATAAAGAAACACGAAGGCTAACTCACCTATTGCCAAGATAATCAGACGGAATTAGGTTCCGTTTTCGTCCACGCTCTAGTGGATCCGAAAATGGAGCTCTACCTTCCGATCACGGACATGATAATTCGAGATTTTTTGGGGCGGAGAACTCGAATCTGTCATCCATTCGCCTTGAAATACCATTGGTTGAGCAGGGACCAATAGAAATCAAGTTATAGGAAAAACGACTTTCTTAGGGTAAATCAAGGCGAAGAGTTCAAATCTGAGCTGTATTCATCCCCAAATCCTATTGGTTGAGAGTAGCCAATAGAAATCAAGTATTTTATAGAAAAGGTTTGCCAGGATAATTTTGATGTCCACACATTCTAGGATGACTCATCTGTCTCATTCACTTTTTGAAGTACACATAACTCTCAGATTTAAATCCGAGGTTTTCGCATTTATTTAAATTAATTCAGACCACTGGCTCATTGTCAAGTGCAGTGAATTTTCAGGATATCCATCACCAAGCGTCGAACAGAAATAACAAGAAACAGTAAATAATAGTTTTGCATTTTTTCTTATTAAGCTTTAAAAATATTTCACTTAGCTGTTTTAAACATATTCGTTGCCAATATTCACCTGTCTGTTTAATTCTGTCTCTACTTGCTCTTCTGCTTCTCGGTGCGGGCATTGCTGCAATGCTTGTTGCCTTGATCGGCATTCCTAACACGACAATAACAGCAACAGCAACAACAGCAACAACAACAACAGCAGCAACAACAACAACAACAGCAACAACAACAACAACAACAAAAACAACAACAACAACAACAACAGCAACAACAACAACAACAACAACAACAAGTAAGTCAACAATTGCGTTTTTGTTCGCGTATGTACATGAATATTCATACAATTGGATTCATAAAAGAAGTTCTAGCAATCGAAGTTAGATATATCTATAGATGAGATAGGCCCAAGAGGGAAGCAGCGATTTGGGATGATTTTGGCGGCTCAAGTTTGATTTTTGGCAGATTTAAATCAGTTGCTTCCACCTTGGAAGATTGATGAACAACTCTTCAGAAACTGAAGTTGATATTCAGTCAAGATGTTCGACAGTTTGACTATAGAAGAAGCTGTCGATTTTCTTCTTCACCTAATTTCTGTCTTCGTTGGTTTCTTCATTTTTACCCAGTTTTCGTGAAGCGGCAGATTGGCCACTATAGATTTTTAAAAGGTCAGAATAAGGAATTTATCGTTTTTGGACTATAAAAAAGGATGAATACATCATTGAGTGTTTATTTGGATGGACTCAAGGATAATACCGTTATTGTCTGGTCCAAATAAAGAATGAACGAGCGAGTGATTGTAGGTGGAAAGAAGAATGGTTGTTATGGGGCTAATGTCATTTGATTGCGTCATTCTCGCGATGTTTCATCGAAGTACTCACTGTTGAGTGAAGTACATCATCAATCATCTCTTACGTAAATGCACGTATCATCCAACTAAAGTTCTTATCAAGAGAGTTTTCTGATCATGGTTTATCAAGAGCATCTTGTCAATCATCCTACTAATTGTGCCTGTTACAGTGTGTTCTTCTGTAACATCTACCTCGATCCTATCTATTCTCGTTTCTTTGTTATTTTCGTTTCTTTTATTTCCTTTCTTGCTCTTGATTAGGTATGCACCAGTTCCAGTCATGACTGGATCATCAATCATTTGATCTTTAATTTATTAAATGAATAATACTTCCCTCTTTTTTGTCACATAATAAACTGATATGAACCTATTAAAGACCTAATACGAGCTATATCATAGCATTAATTGATTATTCTTGTGTCACTATGTGTCAACTGTTGTCACATACGGTATTATAAAACAAGTAACGTTCGTCGGTTCGACTCACTTGACCCTCGACTGTATCAGACAGAAGTATACAAGTCTCATCCATGGACACCCAGTTATGAAACAGCTGATTTAGGGAGAACTTACCACATATGTCAGATTGACTGAATTTTCATTCTGAAAAATTGAATTGGCTGAAAATTCAATATTAAAAGCACGAGAATCGAATACTTAGCCAACGTTTTTTATGATGTTTCACCTTCCACTATGACAAAACTTATTTTATTTCATATAACCATTCCTACACTCGAGAAAAAAATTATTTTCTCAAAAAGAACCTTTTTTCCTGAACCCAAAAAAATTCAATTGAAAATTTCGAGAAACTGACCTCAGATTCGGATTCTCGGACCTTGATTTGTTTTCGTCAACTTTTATACAATACCGTTATTTTCGCAAAAAACGCTTTCCTCAACCTAAAAAATCAATTGAAAATTTCGAGAAACTGACTTCAGATTCGGATTCTCCGACTCCGATTTACTTTCGTCAACCTTTATAAAATATCGATATTTTCTCAAAAAACCCTTTTCTTGACCCTAAAAACACAATTCAAAATTTTGAGAAACTGATTTCAGATTCGGATTCCCCGACCCCAATTTACTTTCGTCAACCTTTATGGGAAATTTTCTAAAGTGGAAGTTTTTTTGACCCCGATGCAAACACAAACTATTTTTTTTCATATGACCCTCCCTACAGTCGAGGGAATAATTTCAGATGAATTAGTTCTGTCCATATAACTGAGGATGAGTAGTTTTTTTCTCCGTCGCATATTTACACACCGAAGGTTGAAAATTTTATCAAAAAAAGTGCACTGTTCGACTCTTCATGAATTTTAAGTCGTGAGTTGACTACAGATACTCTGTGATTGTAGTATAGTCATTAATGTAAATTAAAGTTATGCTTCAAACACACTCAATTTATCCTGTTCGTGTATAATATAGCAGCCAGCTTGAAAAAAAGTATTTTACATTGCTGGTCAGTTCTGAAATCAAGAAGAACAATTCTGTACTCATACAAATTGGAAGACTGTATAATTAGATAGATAGTAAAAAGCAATGGC